TGATGAAGCTATTACTTGAGCCAAACAAATGGAAATATTTGCAGAACACATGCCCTGAAATGTAAAAGCTTTAGTTATTTTCCATTGTCCTTCTCACACTTGAACTTGGTCTAATGTAAGCATGAGTATACTCTATGCAAACAAAGCTCCTGCCAGCTGTGTCTTCTCAATGTGGATAACGCGTGTTCATTTTTCCCTACCTCTTACACAGGTGACCAGCGATGCTATTTAGTACTGAATTAGAATGTGTATTTGCACACACTGTCTTAGTTTCGTGCTTCATTTCGCTTCTACGAACATGGCTGGCTAAGACTTCTAACTTACGATTTGTATGTAAGGTCTTTTACCACACACCTAGTCATTTATGCAGAACTAAAGCCTGGCTGCAAATTAACATCAAGCCTCCAGATGGCACCAGAGAACTGAGGGAAAAAGACAACAACAAAAAACCAGAATGACATTTTCAATGAGCCTTTGTCCTGTTTCTAAGAGGCAGGCAGGCTGTGGAAAACAGCCCCTTGTCACCCAGTCATTCTTCAAGGAAGGGGGCTGTCTAATGACACACTTTGCAATGTCCAGTTGCTGTTAGAGACACTTGATGGTGGAATTTTGCAAAGCAAGCACACTGGCGTTGCGTTTCTTTCTGCACGGCACCTTGAGAGTCAAGAGGGTGGTCCTTCACGAACGAAGTGCTGAAAGATAAATCGTTAAAGCTTTTGTTGCAGTACAATCAGATACACAAAGATACCTACAGGAAAACAGGGAACTGAAGAGGCTGCGCTGTCCTTGGCATTCTCATTTACACTAGCAAGTCCTGCGAGGGCCTCTCATGAAGCCCAAAGAAACAAAGAAACAAACAACAAACCATGCTGACAACTGATAGTAGTGGTCCAACTGCCTGCAAAGAGTTGGAGGGATGAGCCCCCAACTACAAGGGGAATTCATCGCATGATAATATAATCAGAGATGTAATATCCTCAAAGCAAAGGAGCGAGAAGCCGTGGTCCATCTGGCAGGGTGGATACGGTCGTAACTGACAGCCAATACTTGGCTTAGGTGCCTCAGCCAGTTATCAGTTCATCCTTTAAACAAAAGATGTAAGGAAGCTTCTCACCCGAGCATTGCTAGCGTACCTCAGCACAGCCTGGGGTGCATCCCAATACCCCCACCCACAACAGCAACACTGTTAATCCATAAATCACGGTTTAGCACTGTAACGCAGAGACACCAGCTGCGCCAGAGTCCAGGATGCAGGTAGGAAGCCCAGATGCTGTTTTCCTGGATAGTCTCATATCCTTTCTCCATGCAACTTTGATTAAAATACCACACCCCTGGGCGAGATCTCCCCCACCCTCCTCTCTAAAATGATTTCCCCTCACACATTCTTACATCTCCTACTTTTCCCCATTTAGCGCTTATCAAAATAAAATCACTTCATTTTATACTCCTTTGTCTGCCTCTCCTGCCTGCAGCTATTGTTGAAGCAGGCAGGCCCCTCCTGGGTCAGCCTCCTCCTGCATCTCCACCTGTGAATAGAGCACGCTGCATGTTGTAAAAGCCTCGGTAAAATGGAACAAATGACTGAATGATGACAGATAGGCTGGCCCATCTCTCTATTTCCTTCTGGTTATGAAATTGGATTCAAAACACAAGATTCAGGATCAAAGCTATTATGAGAGAATATTAAATCAATATAAATAACCAAAATGTGCCTTAAGAAAAAACAAGAAAAGATTATAGAGAACAGAAAAGATAATCATGTCTACAGTGTTTAAAAACAGATGATGAAAATTAGATCGTGGAAGCATGGGGGTCCTGCTGCAAATGCTCACTCACCAGCACACATGATTGCTGTGAGAACAGGCAGACCGGATGAACTGGGAGCAGCTGGGTGGGTGTGCCTGCAGTTTTATCTGGAGGGGCACAACTGCATGGATTCAGAAGGATTCTCTATCCTGGTGAGTGTTCTACAAATGATTTCTGGTGAGTGACCATGTGTGCTCAGAAAGTCTATCTGTACCTCTGGAGGCTTTCTCAAAACCCCAAGACTAGCTTGAGTTCCTCTTATTCCAACAGACCACGCTTGCCATTGAGGGGCAAATAGCAGGTTACTTAACCTCTTTCTCTTCCTTTGGAATTTGAGCATTTTAAAGTCCTAGGCTGTGGGTTCCTATCCATGGCTGTCCTCTCAAGTAGAACCTGCTGAGTAGAAAAAGCAATTGGCTAAATAGTTGTTCAACAAACAGATACATCAAATACTTAGACTCCAAGAACTGTCACCCATGCTTACATACATCTTTTTCCCTGTTTCATCATGCATGACCTTACCTTGTCCACACTAGGTTTTGCTCCACTTTATGGATGAAAGGCTGAGGCTTTATGAAAGCACAGGAGTCTGGTGCCCTCTTATGGCGTACCTCTTCCCAGGTACCAGCACACACACACACACACACACACACACACACACACACGTTTGAAAAATAAAAAATGAATCTTAATAACACAGTTCTATCATTAAGCAAGAATTAGGCAATAATATTTATACTAGTCACTTTTCTCATGGCTATGACAAAATAAAAACAACTTAGGAAAGGGAGAATTTATCTTGGCTGAGTTCGAGGCTACAGTCCATGGCAGCAGAAGTATGTAACATTTCATCTGCAGTCAGGAAACAGAGAGGTGAATGCAACTCATTTTCTCCTTCATATTCATTTTGGGATGCTGGCCTATAGGATGATGCTCCCCACATTCTGAGTGGGTCTTCCCTTGCCACTTAAATCTCATAGACATAGCCAGAGCTAGGGTATTCCAAAAGTAGTTAGGCTGATGGTAAAGATTAACAGCCACAGCATCTATCACTAGGCCCGTTTTTAAGTGAGATTCCATTGTGAGGTGTGGGCCATGAAGGGAAAAGGAAGTCTTTGGCCAAGAAATGCCTTGAAGCAAATCCCCATTGACTCAAGTTCAAAACGGTGCATGTTAAACCTGGAGGCTCTTTTTTGGTTCATGCCAGACCAGTTCTGAATAATGCAGAGAATACATTTTGATCAAAGACGACCAACTAACTTGTTGGACATGTTGAATTTGGCATCATTTGGAAGCATCTCTTTCCTCCCCTTCTACAAACTGTCTTTAAACCATTTAGTCATGTTGTCTTTTCCATCATTTAATGGGACCGCGGGCAGCTTCCCAGCTTCCCATTCACTTTCAACCCCAAGAGCAGCCTCTTTTCAGCCTATGTAAAGCCTGAATACACGTGATTGTGTATTATTGTAAATTTAAGAACAGTGTTGTGAATGCCTGTAAGATAAATGTCCACATCTCTCAGAGATGTTAAATGAGGCATATTTTGATATTTGCTCTGAAAAATTCCAAAACACAAAAAGAAGATGACACACGGGATACAACCAGGAGGTGGGGGTAATTGTCAGAGCTGAGGTATGGGGACTTTGGGGTGAATTTTATTCTTCTTTCTTACTTTTGTACGTATTTAAGAATGAAATGTCTACTCTAAAATGTTTCATGAAAGTCTCATCTAATTTGAACATAAACTTTGTCTCTTTATGGCCATCCTCTCACCTCCCCAGAGCTCACACCCCTGACCTGGACTCTGTGAGGGCAGAAGGGCTATGGTCAATCTCTTCAGTGTTAGCATGGATGGCTCTTTGTTCCTGCTTCTCATCCTCATATTTCTCCTCTGCTGACGCTCATATTTCTTGTTCTTTGGAGGAGGGGAGGGGTTGGTACTTGGGAGAGGAGGAAAGGCAAAGGAGAAAGTCCTATCCTGACTGGCCTTAACTTGTTCTATCTGGATGCCACATAATTAACTGGTTCTATTTGGATGCCACATACCCCTGGTGTGGTGGGTTAGCATAAAGTTCTTTTACAGTTTACAGGCTTCTCAAAAGACTTTTGTGGACATCTGATCATTGTTACCTGCTTCACTGTGACCTGGCTTCAGTGGTCCATGTACCTCCTGCCTGCTGCAGTCTGGGGAGGTACTGGTTATTTTAAACTGTCATTTTGACATATCCTAGATGGGAAGAGAGGAATTATTATTAGTGAGGAATTATCTAGATCAGGATGGCCTGTGGGCATATCTGTGGGGTTTGTGGAGTGTTAATTGATGTACGAAGACCCAGTCCACTGTGGGTAGCGTCTTTGCCTAGGCTGAGCCCTGAATTGTGTAAAAGTGACAAAAGCTAGCTAACATTCAATAGGACAACCAACCAAAGCAAAGTTTCTTTTTTTCTTCCTCTTTGCTCTTGACTGTAGATATGCTGTGACTAGATGCTTGAGTTCTTACCTTGACTTTGCTCAAGTGATGGACTTCCTCTTAGAATTAATTGTAAGCCAAATAAACCTTTCCCTCCACTGTGTTGCCTGTTGTCAGGGTATTTGTAAGAACCAGAACAGAGTGCTTATGCTCTCCAAATTCATATGTTCCCATCACAGAAAGTGATGGGAATATGAAACAGGGCCTCTGAGGAGCAACTGGGCCATGATAGAGGACTTCATGAATGGCACTGTTGCTCTGACAGAAGAGGCTCCAGAGATCTTCCCGGCCCCTCTGTCCTACAAGGATGCAACGCGGCAATACCATGTGTCTGGACTGAAGCTTTACATTTGACAGTACTTTGACCTCAGATGTCCTGCATTGTGCAACTATGAGGAATAATTGTTTACTGTTCACGAACCTCACAGTTTCTGTGAGCTTTGTGAGTGTGACTTGAATGAACTCTTCTTGACTATCAACTTGAATTCTGCTAGGTGAACATTTGGCTGTACCATAACTTCTTTACTCACCCTCAGTATTATAATTATTTGCCTTTTTTGTTTATTTTTGAGTTTGTAATTTAATTATAATGTTTCTCCCTTCTCTTCCTTCCTCCTAGCTCTCTCATATACCCCTCCCCACTCTCCTTCAATTGCATGGCCCCTTTCATTATTTGCTATTGCATGCATATATGTATTTGTATAGATTTTACATATCCGTAAATTCAGTCCTTATAATGCTACTTGTATGCATGTTTTCAGGGCTGATGATTTGGCACTGGACAGCAACTGTGAGCTAAACAAGGACGAAACCAGCAAACGTGCCACACTTGACAGGGAAAAGCCCACAAAGTCTCCACCTACACAAAAACTACCAGCAATTGAGTAAATCTGGGAGCAGGAGAGGTGGCCCTCCTCAGAGAAGGGCACACCAAATAATTGTTTGCTTTTTAATTAAACAAAATAACATGAGGGGGGGGTCTCAGGAATGCAGAATGAATAAACTCCTAAAAGAACAGAGAGTGTTTGCTTTTTCCAACAGTAAACAAGGGGTGGGAGAAGGAGACTGTATATTCAATTGTCTAAAAGAGTGAAGAGAGATGCTGTGATGGGAAGCAGCCAGCAGACATCCTCACAGCTTCTAGGCTGGAAAGCCACAAGGCCATGGAACCACCTTAGAATAACCACCTGCCACACCAATTCTGGGTCAGAGATCAACTCAATAAAAGGAAATGGCACAGTTAAAAAAGAAAGAGTGAAGAGAGAGAGAGAGAGGGAGAGAGAGGGAGAGAGAGAGAGAGAGAGAGAGAGAGAGAGAGAGAGAGAGAGAGAGAGAGAGAGAGAGAGGATAAACTGATTCAGGTAAATAAAATGCAAACAAATAATAACAGGAGAAGGTGAAAGATTGAAACACATCGATAAAAAGGCACAAGTTCCGCCATGAGATGGAAAAGAAGTCCAGTTCGGTTATATGCTAGCAGAGCAAAGACAGACGAAGAACAATATCAACACTCAAAATCAAAAGTGAGGTGAGATACAACCAGGCAAACACTGACCAAAGGACTCCAGAATCTCCATATTAACATCAAGTGAAAGGGTTTTTGATATAAAAATATCAAAGAGTGTAGAAAATTGCTAAGTAACAATAAGCCTTGAACTTCACTAAAGAGAACTGATTCTAAACATAATCACTTAGAGTTGTATCAAGATTTATAAGACAAAAATAAGCTAATTGTAAGAAAATATAATGGAACTATCCTATTTAGAAAATGTCACCAGCCATAGCAGTAGTTATAGTCAAAGTGGATTCACCCCACCCCACCTTCCCCCAATGGCCCTTATCACAGACTGGAAACTTTGGTAAGGCAGTTGATAGTTAGTGGCCCTTTATGGAACTGATGCCAAGGAACCTATTTTCTCTCAAACACATGGATGGTTACAAAATTTGGAAAATTTAAAGCCACAAGGAAAGACAACACATTTAAAATAATTAAAAATAATTATTTTCATACAGGCATCCCATCTCACCATAGTGCAATTAAATCTGGAAAGCTACAACATAAGGATAATGAAAACTGCAGCATGTGCTTAGACTTGTAAAAACTCCTGGATCAAATACACATAAATGGAAAAGTTTAAAAACTAGCACTAAATGGTAATAAACACACTACACATTACAATATGATTTCCCCCGCAAGATTGTAAAGAAAATAATAAACAGATTGGGGATGATTTGGGCATTTCTTATAGACACATTCTTAAGGTCTTGATGCCACCCATGGAGTGTATTTTATTATGAATTAATGTACACCAGGTCTGATTTGTATCACATCACTGATCTCTAATTTTAGCATCTTCAATTTTAAATCATGGTCTCAATCTTGTCCCCCCCAAATACATATGCTAAAGTCCTACTGTGGTTTGTGAAATGTCCTATTGTGAAATGTCCCAGCTGCTGACCCTGACTGAGAAGATTCATGGGATGGAGGAGGTCACTGGGGGTGGGCCTTCTTGCGTGGCCTCACTCCTCTTTACTCTCCACCCCTTGACTGCTGATGCACCGGGATCCTGTGGCCTCTTGTTCCTTCCCTGCCTTCTTTGCCTGAACCATGTCCTTCCTGCTATGACGGAATGATCTCCATCACATAAGCCAGAGTGCACCTTTTGTTCATTAAGTCACAACAATAAGAATATCTAAATCAAGCCCTGGTTCCCAATACCCAAGAAGGTGACCAAATATGGAGGTGGGGCCTTTAAAGAGTTACAAAGACAAGATGAAGTTATTATTAAGGACCTCAATCTAACGACCCCTTTCCTTATAACAACAGGAGATGCACACAGCACCGGAGCAGAGGAATGACCATGCCGGAGAGGGTGGTCACCATAAGTGCTATGCTGCTGTTTCTTCTGAATTGAGACTCCTGAGCCTCAAAAGCTGAATAAAAACTTTAAGACTCTGGAAGTCAATACAACTTAAGAAGCTGAAAAGTGTGGAAGATTCACAAGGCTTTCCCTCAAGGTCATACATACAGTAAACAAAGGCTGGGGGTCACTGGGAGTGGAGACTCTTCAGTAGACTTGACTGCAAGATGTGCTCTCAGGATGTAGCTGCTTTTAAGTGATCTGTGTTGCTGTGATTACTGCAGTAAACTCACTGTCACCAAGCTAACAGGCAGAACCCTTCTTTGGCCTGTTTTTGATGTTCTAACTGGGATGAATAGACATTTGTTCACATCTCCATAGGAAAAGCCACAAAACAAGTCTAGAGTATTAGTTACTTTTGTATTACTGTAACTATCGTTCCATGACAGAGGGTCTCAGTCAATCACGTTGGAGAGGACACAATGGAATAGCTGAGATCATGTTGACAGAGTATGTGGTTGAGGCTTTTCATATCACAGTGGGCCAGGAAGCAGAAAGCATGATGGGAAGTTGGCAGGGACAGCATACCCACAATAACCTACCCCCTGTAACTTACTCCTTGGAGGTAGACCCATCTTCCCAAGGCTTCAGGGACTACCTAAAACAACACCATCGGGGGACATGCACTCAAAACTGGGGGCTGTGACAGACACTTCAGATTCAAATCATCACCCCAAGGAACAAAGCTTCCAAAGAAACCAACCCTATTGGCACCCTTTATTTATACTTTAGATCGCAAGCCTGCCAAAAATAAATCTATATTGCTTAATATACTCAGTCTCTGGTATTTTATTATGGCAGCCAGAACGAGCCAAACCACTTCATGTTCAAACAAATTCACAGTTATTAGGCAGTGAATTGTACCCATGCCCTCCCCCAATCTGTTGAAGCCCTATGCCCGTCTTACTTAGAGGACCTTTAACAGAGGTAATTAAGATTAAATGAAGTTCTAAGGGTGATGCCCTAAGACAACAGGGCAGGGACATTGAGAACTCCTTCTTGCCTTTGTTCTCTTTCTCTCTCTCTTCTCTTCTTCTGTTTTTTCTTCTCTCCCTTCCCCCTTCCCCCTTCCCCCATATCTCTCTCTCTCTCTCTCTCTCTCTCTTCTCTTCTCTTCTTCTTCTTCTTCTTCTTCTTCTTCTTCTTCTTCTTCTTCTTCTTCTTCTTCTTCTTCTTCTTCTTCTT